CCCGGAATGTCTAACCCCCCTGTCACGACACCTTGCAAGGCTTCGTTGCGCCGACCTTTGCCAGTGCGGCGAGTTGTTTGCCCCTTCGCTTGCGAGCCGTGCGCTTCCACAATCTCCAGTCTGGCGATGTGTTCTTCGAGTCACCGGCCCCGGCGTCGGTGTTGCCGCCGCCGCTTGGCACCGCCGCCCCGCCACGGCTGAACTCCTGGCCCGAGCCGAGCGACAAGGGCTCGGACTCCGGGGCGCGCCCGGGCGCAGGCGACCAAGGTCCTGCGGGCGATCAGACCGATGCCCTGGACCCGGCCCACGGTTGGATGCCTCGCAACCAGCTCTTTGTCTACACCTTTGCTCGAGAGGAATTGGCCTCCGGCGGCATGGACGCCGTGGCTGTATCGTACGTGCTCCCAAGGCCCGCGCTTTGGTTTGCCCGTTTCTTCGAGGGAGTCTGCTTTCCCACCTGCTATGGATAACCCGTGGGATGTGATTCGCCACTGACATGTCTCCCTCCCTCTCTCCATGGCCTTATCTTTTGCTTTCTCCTTCCTCTTCGCCCCTTTGGCTGCTCTCTTGAGTTCAGTTTGACCTTGGAGTCCGGCGAGAAGGGCTTTCGCAATCTCCGCCTGATTGAGACATTCTTCCACCACCCGCGGGCGAATGCTTCGTCCACCTCACCGAAGGCGGGTGCCATGGCAAACCCGAAGTCTGAGCCCGACATGACTGCGCCCGGAGGAGGCCCCGCCGCCGGCGCGGATGACACGGCCACTGGGCCACCGCCGCGCGTCCTTCGGAGGTTCTCCTTCTCTCATGGCCGAGTGCCACCGAAGGCTGTCCTGCGATGGGACACTGTTTATGATAGCCTAGCACCCACCTTCGCCCAGTTGCTCGGTGCGTGGACCTGATCATTGTATCGGGACTTGCCCTTGCCTCAGGGCCCCATCCTCCTGCCGGCTTGTGTCCTGCTGCTCGGCGTGTGGCGATCTAACCCCTCTTTTTTTCTCTCTCTCTCTCTCCCTCGCCCCCGCCCTGCTCGTCGCCGTCGTCGAACCCCCCCCCCCAACCCAACCGCCAGAGGCCCCTCACCTGCTGGCAGACGATGATGGAGAGATCCGCATCTATGGGGACGCTTTCTTGTATGATGAGGAGGAGCTGATTGCACACAACAAGTGTGTCGTCTCTCTGGCTCCAGATCCCTCGCAATCGAACCCCTTCGATTTGGATGTCTTCGATGGCTGACGAACATGTGCGCTGTCGCGTACACCCCCAGACACACATGCACGCGCATACACGGGCGCACAGTGATGGGTGGTTCTCTCCGGTCCAGGCGGAGAATCAGGTGAGGGAGGAGGCCAGGAGGCTAGCCTGCATGTGTGTGTGCATTAGGCTTCCACTAGCCCCCCCCCCCCCCCCCCCCCCCCGCCGCCCCGCCCGCGCGGCGTCCCCCCCTCGCCACCCACAACAACCACAACACATCACCAGGCTGACCCGGAGCGCGGCGGGGGGCGACGAGGGAGGGGGCTGGAAGATCGGCCGATGTCAATAGTCCCAACGCACCGGCGCTTGGCAATGCCGCATCTGCATCTCCAAGCAAGCCGGCGTCTTGCGCACTCTGGGTGCGCCGGGGGGGGGGCTGTGAATAAGAGGGGGGAGCGAGAGGGAGCCGACACAAGGGGGAAGGGGAAGAAGTCGCACTTGCTGAGCGACAAGATGACAACCGCCCGCGGAGATGACTGCCCGGGGTTTGGGGCGCGTACCGGGCGCGCGCGAATCCGAGGGGCCCCCCGAGTCCTGAGGATGTCTGCTTGGGCTGGAAGGCGGCGTGTGATCGGCGGAGTTCCTCGGATGGCTGTCTGTCGCGGGGTGATTGGCTTGTGAAAGCCTAGACCAGCGGCCGGGGTCCTCTCGGTGTGTCGCAGGCCTCCTCCCTGCGCATGAGTACGCGCGTGTGTAGCTTTGCTTGGACAGCACCGATGTGATGTGTCAGGTCTCGGGCCGCGAGCGTGCGGCAGATGCCTTTGCCACCTCTTCTTGTGGTCCCAGAGCCAGCTCGCCGGGTTGACGACGGCAACTCCCCCCCCCCTCTCCCCCCTCCCTCTTAGGCTTATTGCCCTCGCCACTGACAGACTCTCCTCTCTCTGTCTCTGTCTCTCTCTGTTTCTCTGTCTCTCTCTCTGTCTCTCTTTCTTTCTCTCTCTCTCTCTCTCTCTCCCCTTTCACCCACCCCGCCCTTGGCCCCTGTCCGGCCTTCCCCAACACCGCGGTAGAATGGCTCGAACAACTGTGTTGGTGCGCGGTCGTCGCCGACCGCTGGGGGTCTGCCTGGCTTTCCCGGCCCTCCTAATACTTGCCCTGCTCGGGTCTTGGGTGGCGGCCTCCCCGCGTGCCCGGGCCCCGACCGGGTACGATGTCCTTCCGCCGGCGCGCCTGTCTCCGGCCGATCGGACCTTGGTCGCGCAGATGGAATGTATGTGCACCTCTATCTTTCTTTCTCCCCCCCCCCCTCTCTCTCTCTCTCCCTTTCCCTCCTTCCCTCACCTCCTCTTGTGAGTCCCGCCCCCTCTCTACTCTCCCATGGCTTCCCTCACTCACGTCCATCACCTCCCATGCGTCTCGCGCAGCCGACATCATCGCCCAGACCAAGCCGGCGCGCGCCGAGTGCACTGGCCAGGATGATGGCTGCCTTTTCTGGAACACATTTAAGACCGCCAAGCCGGTGGCCGATCAGCGCCTCATGAAAACCCAGCTCCTAGGCCATGTGCACCGGCAGTTGGCCGAGATTGGTGGCGCCTCCATGCCCGGGGTGTCGGTAGCCAAGTCTCGGCAGCTGGACCAGCCCGGGGCCGTGGTCGAGCATATTGCGGAAATCCTGCGCCAGTCGCCGAAGGTATGTCTCTTCGCGGGCCGTCCCTCCTGCCGCCCCCCGTGCCGCCCTCTCGCCGCTCGCCCCTGCACGGTTTGCCGTGGCCCCCTTCTCACCCTGCCCTTGGCTGGCGAATGGCACGCAGGTCCGCATTGTGTTTGATATTTACAACATCATGGAGGATCCGCTGAATGAGGAGGAGATCCGCAACACCTTGCTACGCTTTTGCGAAGATGTGGAGCTGGTCGAAGTCCAGGCCGACCAGGCCCCCGCGGTGGCCAGCGATGCGGATCTCCGCTGGTCGCCGGATGCCCCGTATGCCTTCCAATGCATGGTTCGCATGATGCCGGTGCCGACCACCCTGGCCGAAAATACGGTCCGCGCTCTGCGCTTTGAGTCTATGGGCGAAGTGTCTGGCGATGTGCCTGAGGTCCGCCGCTCGTGGTGACTCCATGTCCCCCTCCTTTGGCCATCCCTCGGCTAACGATCACCCGCTGTCCTCCCCCCCTGTCGCCCTCGTGTTTCCCTGGTACATCTTCTTCGATTGGCAGTCTCTCGAGCACAACTTCATCGCCTTCCACCAGGAGGCCATGTCGAAGGAGAATGACCCGGCGCGCGTGTCGGTCTTCCTCCTATCCAGCGAACTCATGCTGCAGGGCTCAAACCTGCACTATTGGCCAGACTGCTTCGGCACCAATGTCGGCTGCATGGGCACTGTGCGCACCCGGTCTCCTGCCTGCTGTCACGCCCTGCCATTTGCATGGCCCTTTCCTGTCCTCTCCCCCCCCCCCCCCCCCCCCTCTCTCTCTCTCTCTCTCTCCCACTCGCGAGGGAAGGCTAACCCTCCCTCTCGCTTCGTGCATCCCGCCCATCTCGCTTCCCTGTCCAGAGCGCCCCCATCTTCTGGCTGGACACCAGCCGTACGGATGCCTTCTCCGAGTGCAAGGACTGCCCCGAGCTTACGCGGTCCCTGCTGCGACTGATCACCACCAGCCTGAGCCCCGTGGCCCCGGAGCAGTTCCTCCTGCCACAGTATGACCTGCATACGCACCACGGCCACGATGGGTCGGATGGGGATCATCAACACCACGAGGATGATGGTGCGGCCGTGACAGACGAGTTGTTCCTGGAGTTCGCGGACCAGCACCAGTCGGCCAGCGGCGGGTCCGGCGGGTCGCGCGGGCATGGTGACACCCTCACAGCCTGGGCCCTGGCCGAGGTGGCCCGGTCGCTCGGCGCGCCGCGGTACACCGGCGACGGGTCTCACAGCGACCCGGTAACGGTGCGCTTCATCCCGCTGATTGTCGGCGATGGCGCTGGCGACGTCTCCAAGGGCGATTGCAACCTGCCGAATGAGGCATTCATGCGCGGTGCAGTCAGTGGGCTTGGTGACATTGCGGCCACTTTGTGGCCCTCTGCCGACCCCTCGCCACGGGCCGTCCTGGATACCCAGTCCTCGTCCCAGCATGAGCGGCTGGCAGCCACCTTCGCTCGATTGGTGGCCTCAGCCACATCCAAGGAGGTATGTGAATGCATGTGCTCAGCAGCGCCATGCACCGGCTTGCGTGGCGATTTCGGCTTGCAAAGGGGGGAATACGGTATCCCTGCCTGTGGTCCTCTGACGCGCTGCCTGCTGCTGATCCTTGCCAGCGCCTAAATGGCCGAGTTCTGCACTCGCTGATGGATAGCAATGACGATGTGTTCGATTATGGTTCGTCTTGCCTCTCTTGTTTTTCTGCACCTTGCCTCTCTCCCTTGTTTTTTTTTTCTCTCTCTCTCTCTCTCTCCCTCCCTCTGCCCCTCTGCCCCTCTCTGGCCCTGTCCCTGGGGGCGGGGCACTCTCTTCACCCTCGGATTCCTTCTTTTCTTGGCTCCGCCTTTGTCTCACTTACTGTTCTCCTCGTCCTTGAACTTCGCAATGTGACCCTGCAGAGTCCAAGCTCCATGGGACATCGCGCAAATCGTCCAACATCATCAACATCTACTGGCTCTGTGGAACCCGTTTCGACACTACGGCTGCCGTACGCACACCCCGCAGCTCCTCTCGTGCGAGTAGAATGCCTGGCCGTGCGATTGACCGTTCTCGCCCCCCCCCCTCCCCCCCCCTCGATCGGGCGCCTTGTGCATCGCGCGCAGTTCGATGTGTCCGAAAACCGCATCATCATCGCTTCCGGAAGGGCACTGTTCGTTTGATACATCCGCCTGCCGTTCGGGCCATGTCCCAGAAACTGACCCCCCCCCCTCCTCCCCTCGTTGATCATGCGCGAATGCCACGCCTTCGCAGTAACCAAAGCCGCCTGACCCTTGTACTGGTGCAGACTTACTTCAAGGTGGCCACCGAGCTGTACGTGGCCGGTCCCCTGCGGGGCTCTTGGATTAGGCCAGACGCCCCCCCCCCCCCCCCCCCCCCCGTCACACTAACCAGGGGTTCCTCTCGCGCTCCAATCACAGGGTCGTGCCTGACATTGGCCCCTCCCTGCGGGAGAAGCTGCCTTGGATCGTCCGGTGCTCCATCGCCCGGAAGTCCTGGCTCGCGGCCGGGCTGAAGCGCACCGCCCATGCGGCAGCCATGGAAGCCCGCCATACTGCCGTGCGCATGCCTCGGTGGGGGAAGCCTCTTTGCCTTGCCTCCTTCTCCGGGATCCTAACAACCATTGTGCATTCTCCCTTGCCTGAACCCCGTGCAGGATCTTACGGACTTCCCCCTTAATGACCAGGATGTTGCAGTGCGTGTGTATTGGCCTCGTGTTCCCCCATGAATCCCGTCTGCTGACTCTCTTACGCTTGTCGGGCCCTTTGTCTTCCTTCTCGCACCACCGGGCACGCTTCTTCCTCTTCCCCAACAAGGATCTGGCTCTCCTGGTGTCGCGGCATTATCTCGGGCTTCTGCGGACCGTGGAGCAGATTTCTCCCGGACGCTGCGCCCGGCCCATTGACCTGGCTGACCCCGATCGCCCGGATACCTTCATCCACTCGACGCCGGTCATTGCCGTTGACACTATCCTCGCCCATGGGTGCGGTCGCGGTTGATTGTTTGCAGACCCCGCCCCCCCCCCCTCTCTCTCTCTCTCTCTCTGCTTCTCTCTCCCTCTCTCTTTGTCGTTCTCCTCCCCCCGTCGTACAGGGAAAACTTCTTCCTAACTTCTTTTGCATCCCTCTCCGCCCGCCCCGCCCCGCCCCGCCCCGCCCCGCCCCACTCAACCACCTCGCCTCCTGTTCGGTGCTCCTCAGTGCCCTGATGGATCTCTTCCACAAGACCGCCTACCTGTCACTCATGGCACGAGTCAAGAAGTTGAGTGGCTCGATCCCGGACTTCATGAAACGTCCAGCCCTGGAGGCCCTGGCCGGCCGTGGCAAGGGTGCTCTTGTTCAGCGGGTGGCCATTCTGCTGGCGGTCGTTGTGGTGGTGGGCCTGGTGCTCAACAAGCTCCTCACCCGGCGTCGTGGGCTGGTCGCGCGCATGAAGATCAACTGATGATGGCTGTGATCCCCTTCCCTTGCCACAGCAACACACGCGCACAGCCTTCCGTGGGGGCCCAAGTGTCCTAAAAAGTGTCCCCCCCCCCCCCCCACCGGCGAGTTCTGTGCCAGAATACAGCCCCCTTTTTTTGTCATCCACTGTGAGTTGGTCTTTTTATTTCGCAAACTAGCGTAGGTCACGCCAGAGGAGAGCGGGGCCGAGCCGCGGAGTGTGTGGTCGCAAGAGCCAAAGCACGCTCCAGTCGATATGCAAGCGCGGTCGCACACACACACACACACACACAGACAGACAGAGCCATTGGTGGCCCTTTCACAAAGATGCAAGGCATGGCAGAGACATTCGAGGGATCACCACTTAGATCTTGACATTCGGCCAGAAAGCGGCCATGGATTGGAAGATGGTCTCGCCTGCGAGACCACCGGTCGCATCCTGAATGTCCCCACAAGCCGGCAAGCCATCGGCCGTCCAGAAATCCTCAGCCGGGAGGAAATCAAACTGCGGGCCGGTGGTTGCCGTGTCAGGGTCGTCATGCCCTGATCGGCAGGTGACCCAGTCGAAGATGGCCCCTGGGGCCGGCACCCGGTTGCGGGCCTCCACCAGCTCGGCCAGCGAGCCAATCAGAGCGGCTTTGATCCGGTGGTCTGCATCACCGAGCCCCGGTGACAGGGAGGGGTTCTGGTTGACCTCCAAGAGAGCCGGCTGAAGCGGGGCATCCTGGCCGCCCGCCGCCCGGTGGAGCATCAAATCAAAGCCATAAAGCTCAAAGCAAAAGAGCCCCCGGTCACTTGCGGGGGCGGATGTCTCGCAGGGGAAGTACAGCTCCCTATTTGCCGGGGCCTCGGAGAGCGGGACCAGCGTGCGCGACACCAGCCGGTAGATATCCCGACGAATGCGTTGGCTCGGGCTGGGGCCCTCAGTGCAGGGGGGACCGGACGTGCGCCGGTGCTCATCATCGATGTATGCCCAGACAGTGGAAAGCGGCCATGCCGGCGGGGCGCCATCATGCTGGAGGCTCTCTGCGGGGCCGGTGCCGAGTTGCCACCAGGGGTGTCCGAGGTGGTTTTGCCAATTGGGCGGGCGTGGGGCGAGGGGAGAGGGTCAGCCTGGTGAGCAGCGAGCAGGGGCCTCGTATGTACGATTGGCCAGAGAGCAAAGGGCCAGAGAGCGGGAGCCAGCATGACAAAGACATGGAGGGGCACAGCAGACGGAGGGGAGGGACGAACCACGAACAGCGCGGACGCAGCTCTCGACCGAGTGCAGCGCGTCCGGATCCTGGACGGAGGCTGCGCCATCTTCTTCCCGCTCGAAGTCCGAATCACCGGCGCCGATGCTGCTGGCGCTGCTGCCCATGTCGGTGCCATTGGCGCTGCCATTGCCGACAGCCGCATCAAACCAATCCCGATTGAGACAGGTGTTGGTCAGGTGCGCATGGAGGTTGTCAAACTCGGGCTCCACACCGGGGGAGAGGCCCGACCGGGCAGGTGGATACGGGAAGGGGCACACCCGGATGAGCCCCTCGCGATAGACCCACACGTCGAGAGGGGGACCAGCGGCGGCCCCGGCCGGCCGGCGCACTGCCACCACATACACCCGTAGGTCATACTTATAGCCGGCAATCAAATGCGGCCGGTGGAGGTACTGCTGGGCAACAAGGCTACGCGGGGCCGGGGCTCGCGGCAGCCGGGGCTGGCATGTGGGCTGTGGCGCGGTCAAGCCCAGGCGCCGGATGGCCGCCAGCGAAGCGGAGCATGGCAACCCCGAGGGGTCATTGGCGGCCGGCATGTCGGGCATGGCCAGCAGCACCTGAGCCAGGTCACGCGTGATGAAGATCCCCCGGCCGCCACAATCGCGCGGGGGCTTGCTGATGAGTGCATGCTCGAGGGTCAAGGGTCCCGCCGGGCCCGGGGCGGCCGGGAGGTCCATGCCCCGCGAATCCACCGTCGAGGCCATCTCGCTCAGCAAGCCAGGCGCCAGGTCCCGGAGCAAAGTGCCGAGATCCCGCGGAAGGACATACGTCGCTGGGGTCATGTGGTGCCGGTAGTATGTGGCTAGCTCTTGGAAAAGGCGCAGTCGCGGGCAGGGGCCATGAGCATGACGGCAGCTGGCCGGGTGGCTGGAGGCCATGGCGTCCAACGCCTTGGCCACTGCCTGGAGGAAGGTAGCAAGGCGAGCCTTGTTGCTGCTTGGGGTGGGAAATGTGAGTTGGTCTTTGGCACATGGAGAACTGCTCGACGGCGGCGAAGGGAGGGCCAAGGGAGGGCGAAGCCAAAAGGGAGCAAGATGCTCACGCACGAAAGTAGCGCCAAGCCGGGGATCCGGTTGACTGCCAGGCCGCGGGGACAGTGGCGAGTGTACTCCAGCAGGGAGGCCCACTCGCTTGCGCAGGGTCGAGTCACATCCCAAAAGAGGGAGTAGGTGATCTTGGAAGCCGAGAGGTCTCGCAGACGCTGGTTGCAATCGCGCAACTGGCGAACCGTCCGGGGGAGCGGCTCGCCGGCGGCCATGCGGCGGGCATCCAGCCGGTCGAAAATGCGCCCCATGGCCGTGGCACACTGCGGCTGGAAGGTGGCCGTCTCCTCCTTCAGGAGAGCCGCCGTTCGATGTTCCACATGCTTGGACAGGGCCTGGATCTCGACATCGACGGCTTCGGCATCGGCCACCTGTCGGCTAGTGGCATTGTGGGATGTCCAGCCTGGTTGTGTGCCAGTGCGCGTGTGTGCGAGTGGGCAGCGGGCCGAGGGACACAGGGGGCAGGAGGGGGGGGGGGGGGAGGGGGAGCAGCAGTTAGGCCAAGGGTGCAGGGAGGTTTCCGGGGCCCCAAGCGGGCGCAGGAGATCCGGCGGCGCACCCAATGTCTGCAGATGCTCCCACAGGAAGGCAGGGGCACCGCGCGAACGAAACAGCCGATCATGGTCGATGCCCTTCAGGCAGGTTTGAAAGGAGGACAGCAGATCCTGGCACTCGGCCTCCGAGGAGTAATCCGAGGGGGTGTCAGCCGCCTCGGCCATCGTGGTAGAGCAGGCAAAGGGGAAGAGAGGGAGGAGGAGGCAGGGGGGGGGGGAGGAGGAGGGAGCTGCCCGCGAGGGAACTGCGCGCAGGCAAGTGGGGGAGAAAACAGAGTGCCCAAGGTCCCTGACTCCTGGAAACACAGGGGCCCGAATAGGTTCCTCTGCCGACGGCCGGGGCGGGGGCTGGGGCGTCGGCCTTGCCCGGGTGGTGGCTCGCTCCTCTCCCGCGCCCTTTGGCCCTGGAAGGAGAAACAAGATGGACGGGCAAGGGGGGGGGGGGACAGTGATCGCGCCCTGGTGTCGAGATCTCATTCACACGCTTTGCCCACTGCTCGGGGATCCCAGTTCTCCGGGGAGAGGAGGCGTGAGACGGGGCTGGGACATGTCCTGTTTGTGTGTGTGTGTGTGTGTGTGTGTGTGTGTGTGTGTGTGTGTGTGTGTGTGTGTGTGTGTGTGTGTGTGTGTGTGTGTGTGTGTGTGTGTGTGAGCGTGCATGCCGCCTGGCGTCCACATCTTGCCCCCCGGCCCGAGGGGGGCTGTCTCAGGGAGCATGTAAACAAGAGCCATCCAGGGGAAACCGGGCACCGGGCCAACGCCGCGACCCCCCTTTGTACGAGACTGGTGTATGTTTAGTCCCTCGCCCCCGCCCCCCCCTCACCCAAGCCGGGAGCCGGAGGGCGAAGGCCCGCGGAATTCGAGCAAGTACTCTAAAACGGCCCTCACACTTTTTCACCAGCCCAGAGAAATATCTTGCAGGGCGGGGCCGGAATTCGGCGGTTCTGGAATGTTCACGTGTGGCCGGGCCATTCACCAGATTGCAAGAGTTAAGGGGGGGAGGGGCAAGCAGGCACATTTTCTTTTGAGATTTTTGGGTTTTTTATTTCTGTTGTAGTTGGGCGAGAACGAAGACACAAGGACAAGAGAGAAGAGGTCAGAGGGGCTCTGCTCTGCAAGCAAGCAGGCAGGCAAGCCGGGGGGGGGGGGGGAGCCGCCCGCCATGCTCAGGTGCTGACCTCGATGGTTGCGGCCGAGGGCAGGTCCCCGAGGGAGGAAGACCGGGAGAGGCCGGTGGCAGCCTGCTGGCGGGCCAGGCGCCGACGCTGGCGGCGGCTGAGGATGGGCGAAGTGTCGCGAACGCGCAGGGGGTTCTTCTTCCCGGCGCGGGCCTGCTTGCCGCGGACGCGCAGGCGTGTGGACTTGGACAGCAGACCGCTCGGCGAGGGGGCCAGGTCAAGGTGATCGAAGAAGTCCGGCGAGTCGAAGGAGAACCCATCGTCCTCGGTGTCGTCCCGGTCCACCAGCTGCTCCGGCTGCGAGTCCTCCTGCTCATGGTCGCTCAGGACCGCGGGGAGGGGGGCAACCTGGTGGGCCTCCTCCACATCGGACATGGCATGTGTCCCGGGGAGGGGCTCCAGAGCGGCCGCAATGTGGTCGAGGTCGGTGTCGGTGAAGCTGTCGTCAGTGTCAGCCTCGCTGCTGTCGTCCTCGGACCGGCCATCAGACTCGCTGGCAGAGTCGTCGATCGGCAGGACCGAGAGGCAGGCGCCACTGCCGTCGGAGGCCAGGAAGTCGAACTCGCTGTCCTCCTCGGCGTCGCTGTCGGAGGTGGAGTCCGAGCTGGAGGCAACAAAGTCCAGCTCGTCGTCGGTCGAGGCGTCGAGCTCCATGTCGCCGGAGCCCTCGGCCCGAGGCAGCTGCTCGACGATGCTGGGGTCGGCCTCGAGAACCGCACGCAGGCGGGCCTCAGCGCGCAGGACCTCCAGCTGGTCCAGGTGGCCCTGGATGAAGTCCACCAGCTCCCGGCGAAGGCCACGAAGGAGGCTGTTGCCATTGGTGGACACGCCGTCGAGCTTCAGCAGGGTGCGAAGGAGCGAATCCTCCAGATAGAGGAAGGCGAAGCTCAGCTTGGGCTGGCCATCATGGCCGAGGGTCAGCGGCCGGGCCAGAGGGCAGGGGGCCTTCTCGGCACCGGCCGGGCCGAAGACCTCCGGGCCGGCCTTCTCCAGGATGTCCTGGACCTCCAGGCGAATGCGCCCAAGGCGAGCCAGGGTCCGGAGGTTCTTGCGCATCCGGCGCCCATCCCACCAGTCGTAGATCCGGCTGGCGGCGCGGTGCTTGCTCAGCAGCTCGGTGGCCGCGTGGAGGACATTCTCGCCGTCGGAATCGGTGTCCATATCGGCATCGGAGTCGGTGTTCATGTCGGCATCGGAGTCGGAGGCGAGGTCGCCCTCGGAGTCGGAGCTTGCATCGGAGCTGGACGCGGACTCCGAGGCGGAGGAGTCCTGCTGCAAGGCCATCATGGCCGACTCGATGTCAAGCTCGGCGGCGTCGGAGTCGGACTCCATGTCGGAGTCGACATCGGCCACGTAGGAGGGGAAGAGGTCATGCGAGGTGGCAGGAGCGGCCACCGAGGGAGCCATCGGAGCAGGGGCGGCGGCACGCTGCTGCTTCTGCTGCGGCTGCGGGTGCGGCTGCTTCTGCTGCTGGAGGTGAGGGAAGAGGAGGCGGGTGAGGACCGAGGAAAGGTCCAGGCCCTCGTCCTGGTCGTCGTGCTCATTGTCCTCATCATGCTCGGTGTCCGCCTCGGAGGAGGAAGAGGAGGCATGGTCGGAGTCGGAGCTGTGGGCGTCGGTGCTGTCGGCCTCCTCCATGTGGTCAGAGTGCTGGCCGTGGAATTCCTGCTCCTGGTCGGAGTGGGGCACATCCTGGTCGGCATCCTCGTCGTGCTGGACGCGGCGCAGGCCGAGAGCCCGGAGCAGGAGGTCCTCCTGCATCTGGCGGAGCTCCTGGTCGTAGGAGCGCATGCGGGTGGGCGGCGCGGCCGGAGGGGCAGCCTGGCGGTGCTGGGGGCGCTGCATCCGCGACGCATGCCCGGGGAAGGCACACTCGGTGGCATGGTCCTCGGCGTCATTGGCGGCATGGCGGCAGGTTCGGCCATCGTGCTGGTGGTGGCCGTGGATGTGGCGACCGGCAGCGGTGCGGGCCGCCTGGTGGGAGAAGGTACCAGGCTCGTTGGCCGGGTCCAGGAACATCACCTGGTACTGGGTGGGCTGGTGGCGGCGCTGGGGACCAGTCCCACGAAGCAGAAGATCGCAGGGGCTGCGGGCGGGCGGGGCCACCGGCTCGGTGACCGAGTAGTGCAGGCCGGTGTAGGGGTCCTGCATGATGCGCCGGCGGCGGTGGGGATGCTGCTGCGGGTGGCGGTAGGGGTGGGACGCGGCGGCCGCGGCAGCGGCCAGCTGGTATGCCGCATCCAGGGAGCGCTGACGCCGGCGCTGAAGCTGCTCCTGGCGCTGAAGCTGCTCCTGGCGGCGGAGCTCCTCCTGGCGGCGGAGCTGGGCCGCCAGGCGCTGGCGCTCCAGGGCGCGGGCCGACATGGACATGAGGGCCAGCTGCTGGAAGGGGTCAGCGGGATGGGCCTGGGGCCGGGCCGAGGTGCGGCGGTAAACGCGCTCGGTCGGGCGCCCGTAGGTGGCATGAGCCCGAGGGTGGTACTCGGGGACAAGGGAGAAGCCCATGAGGGGATGATGGGCGAGGAGGTCCATGATTGCGGTGTGTGCTGGGAGTGGGGAGGGAGAGGGAAGAGAAGGTAGTGTTTGAGCGTTGATGGTGGTGCGTGTTGGGAGGGGGGGGAGAGAGAGCAGATGTTTTTCTGTGTCCGAGCCAACCAAGGCAGCACCAAAACGGGCCTTTATATAGCTGGGCAGAGGGCCGAGGGCGGAGGGGGGAGGGGGGGGGGGGGGGGCTCAGTGAGGGCCGAAGAGGGCATGTCCCACCACCACCACCACCACCACCACCACTGCCCCCACCACTGCCCCCACTGCCACGACTAAGCAGTATATCCTCCCCGGGGGAGGATGGCTGGCGGCCCAATCTGGGCTCACTGGTCAGCCGGTCTCCCAGCCACAGTTCGATCTCAGGGGGGCTCGGGGCCGGAGGATGGGGCCCCCATACGGAACGATGCCCTGAATGGAACCATCGCCGAGCAACTTGCCTGCGAACGGGCCACACACGCACACACACACGCACACGCACACACACACACACACGCGTACAAACGCGCGCTGGAAGAAACCTACGATCACCGGGGGCCGGCGGACCAGGGGCCGCCTCCATGGCGAAGGATGCTTGGCCGGGTGTGGGAACGCTGGGGCCAAGGAAAACCGACATGCCCTGGGAAGCCCCCCCATCCATACAGTTGGCGGAAACACGTCCGGACTAGTGGGGGGGGGGGGGGGGGCGCCCCCTCTCCCGCATTCGCTTGCACGCAAGTGTACCTCCACTCACACAGCACACACATACACACATACATGCTTACACACTCACATACATGATGTGCAATACACACACACATACACACACACACACACACACACACACACGCGACCGGGTGTGTTCTGGTAGCATAATCCCCACACACATTCTTGCCTGGCCTAGATTCAGGGCGGACCTGGCCCAGTGGAGAAGGACCCAGAACGCTTATATCTTGCGTCGGCACTCTGGGCCACCGCGTAAGCATCGCTTTGGGCCGGAGCCCCGGGACCCGTGGGCCATAGTCCGAAGGTTCCACCGCCCCGGCGAAGGCTCCAGAAAGGCCAGGAGCCCTCGCGGGGCGTCGAGGCGGACCGGGAAACGTCCACCAAACCGTTGGCATGTCTCGACTGTGTGGCGCCATGACTATTGTCACGTTGTGGCCGTCCGCGTGACCCTCCCGATGTCCGTCGGAGTCAGCGCCCGGGCCGGCCCATCCCCACGCGATGGCACACGCGCATGCACAACGGCCCCTCGGGGGAGGGCGGGGGGGGGCGGGCGCAACTTGACCGCCGGACCCCGGGAGGATGATCGGACCGGCCTCTCGCGGATCCCCCCTCCCCCACCCCCGGTGCGGGCCTGCGCTGGTTGATCAGTCGTCGGTTCTCCGTCAAGACGCGACCCCCATGGGAGTCAAGGGCAAAAGCAGGGAGGGCCCCGGCGGCGGGGTTTCGTTGCTAATTGTTGTTGTTTTTTGTTGTTTTTTTTTTTCTGCCACCGTCAGTCTATTGGAGACCTGTGGCCGGATCGCGCCGGGGGAGGAAAGGCAGGGTGCAGACTCTGAGCTCCGGCCGCCCCTATTCGGCCTCCTGGGCGCGGGGGGGGGGGCGGGGCGGGCGGGGAGCGGCCTCTCCTTGGGCGAGGAAGGGGGCTGATTCCGGGTCCTCCCGGTTCGGAAGCGGGGAGGGGCCGGCGTCTTGTCAATTCCGTGGGGATGGCTCGGGGTGCCGAGCGGGAGGGTGACCAGAGACGAGGGAAATTATGGCAAATATTGCCGCCTCTGACATGCTGGCCAGCAGGAGACCCTCACTCGGCGAAGGCGCCGCCGAGCCGAGCCGAGCCGAGCCGAGCCATCCCTCTCAAAAGGCCATGATGGCCCAAGGGCCAAAGGACAGGGGGGCCATGCGCCCCAGACGGGATGCCTGCTCCCCTGCCGGTGGGCTCGCTGATTGTCTCCTTCGCAGGATGTGCCAGCCATAGTGGCCCAGAGGGAGGTCGCTATCTACGCGAGGCAGGGGGGGGGGGGGGAGGGTCGGCATAAAGACCCTGATGTGACAAGACAGCTGCCGCTCATCGGCGATCCGAGTGCTGTGAACGCCCCTCACATCGACCCAGGGGGACGGGCGCCGAGGGAGGGCCAAGCGAACATCCGGTCGAGCGCAGCCCGCGAGCCCGGTAAAGCATGCACGCGAGGGCATCCGGCAGGAGTGACTGAGGCTGGCACAGATGGTGTTGTCTTTCCTGGTCAGCCCCGAGGAGGGGGGGGGGGGGGCCTCCCCGACCAGGGCCTTACCTGGGCCATGCTGTTGCATGCCTCTCCCCCTCCCAGCAGGTCGCACGACGCTCCCGCCAGTCTATTTGTTCGATGGCCCCGGGAGTGGGAGACATGGCGGAGGCGGGGGCCGGACGGGGGGCGGGGGGGGGGGGGCGGAAGGACACAGGCCCGTGTCGGCCACGGCTCAACATCCATTGTGGGCTAGACCCATCATGGGCATGAACAGACGCGAGCCGCCATGCCCAATGACGCGATGCGGCCACCACGGCCGCCCCGCCTCCCGGTAGACATGCCGATGACAGCGCCTCCCGATCTCCTGGTCTCCTCGTGGCAGCTGGGTGGGACGGATCGTCTGCCGGTCGGCGTACTCGCGCGGCTCCCGGGCACAAACGACCCCCCCTGGGGCGCGGACACATGGCACGGCATTTCATCAGCCTGCTGCCTGATGTCCCCTTCCCCCACCAGGCAGGTCAGAATACCTCCCCAGTGGATTTCCCCGCTTCCCTTCTCGGCCTTCCCTTTCGCCTCGCGTCGCTCTATCACAAGTCCGTGACTTTGCATCAGCCAGCTCCGCATCCCCCCCCCCCCCTTGCCTCTGGTAGCATTACCGCCACACACTCTCCCCACCTCGCGTGCCATCAGGTACTGTCCCCCTCGCCCGGACGCTTCCATCGCACTCAGAGATCGCCAATACTTGTGAGGCCTTCCTCTCGGCCAAACGGTCCAGCCACAAGTCCTTGAATCGCGGCCCTGCTGCCCTCCTCCCCCTGCCCCTGGTATGTCAAGGCATATGCCTCAACATGACCACCACTGCCTGTGACCATGATGGCCACCGACCCGAAAGTGTCTGCATTATCTGACCGATTCCATGGTGGCACCCGAAGACCAAGCCTCACGCCTGCTCACCTGCTCACCTGCCTGCCCGCCCGCCCGCCCGCCTCGCCTCCCGCCCGGACCTCTGCACCCACGCGACAGAGACCCAGCTTGTCCCCCGCTTGCCTTCGGCCCTGCACATCCATTCCTCGGTGACCCGGCCTTTTCCTCCCTCCGCCCCCCCCCCGCCCCGCCCCTGTCGCAGGAAAGTACCTTGCCCATGGTCCGAACGTCCGATCGCGCCACCACGTCCTCCGGCACCGCCACGGTGGTCGTCACCCCGGAGTCCCCCGGATCGAGCTCCTCGCGCCAGACTTCACGCAAGAAGCTCGGCCTCAAGAACTCCTCCAAGCACGACAAGAGCAATGCCCACGCGGCGGCCGAGCAGGCTCTCGCCGAGGGGCCGTCAACACCGCCGGTTCGGCTGCGTCTGCACCATGTCCCAGCCCAGCCGGCACCGTCCTCTGCCAAGAAGAAGGCCAAGAGCCCGCGCTCGCGCGAGCCCCCAGCCACGCCGGCCCACTCGGCCGCCTTCAGCCACGAGCTTCTGAGCCATCCGGCCGCCCGGGCCACACATGTACCTCCCGGGGGCGACACTCGCCGGCATCATGTGCCGACGAACCTGCCAAGCCCGTGGCCCCCAACTCGGGCCGGGCAGCACCCCCAGCCCTCGGCGGCGGATGAATGGGCGCCGGCCATGCCGCTCCCGGCGCGCATGGAATGGACGCGAAATGTCCCTGGCCTGGAGGACCTTTGCTTCTTCGACACCACCGGCCCGGATGGGCGGCCCCTGTGCATGCCCATCCCGCGGGAGGCGTCCTTCGATTTGATCCCCGAGCTTCGTGGGCCGGCCCCCCGGCGGCCGTCCGGCCACTCTCATCCAGGCCAGCCCGCTCACGGGCCCCCGACCAGGAGGATGTCACGAAGCCCCAGTGCGACGAGCGTCTCCTCGGCCAGCCCGGTGGCGACTGCCACAGGGTTCGGCCCTTCGCCGAGCACTGTCCCGACGGCCGGCAGCAGCCCGAGCGCATCGCAGCAGAGCGTCAACCGACTGGCCACGGCCCCGGTGTCGGCATGTCCCTCGATGGACCTGAGCCGGGGCAGCCCCTCGGGCAGTCTGACGCGCCGGCTCTTTGGCCGGCCATTCGGCCGGAAGACCGGCCGGCGCCAGTACCAGGACCCCGGGGCCTTCGCCTTTGACCCGGCGGTCACGTTGAATTTGACGCCGAGCCCTTCGCAGGGCAGCGTCTCTGGCGGGCATGCCGCCCCTTCCCCTTCCGGAGCCGGTCAGCAGCCGCCGACGCCGACCGTGGCCGAGGCCGGGGTCCGGGTGATCGAGGCCAGCCAGCTGGACCCGGCGGTGCTGTCCCAGCTGGCGGCCGTGGCCTCGCCGACCAGCGGCCCTGCCGGCGAACGGGTTGTCGACCTGACCAATGCCACGCCCGAGCAGATTGAGGACTTCTTCCGCCAAGCAGCCGAGAGTTCGCTCGGGTCCGCTTCGGCCGGAGCCGAGTCCGCTGGCGAGACTGTGGCACCTGACGTGGCCTTCGCAGATCTCGCAGCAGGTGTGTCCTCCCCTATTTCCACACACACACACACACACACACACCTCCTTTCTGCTCGCCCTGCTGTGCCTTTCCTCCTGCGGCCTGGCGTTGGCGCACTGCCACTCCCAGTGTCTCGCCCCTTTGCCAATGGGCCGCTCGCTGTCTCACCTGTCTCGCGCCCTCTCTCGGTTCTTTCATGCCTGCTCGACATCATGGTCGGGATGTGATGGTGGCCGCGCGGTCCCCCTCCTGCTGCTGACCTCCTCCCCCCCTCACCCCCCCTCTGCCGGGCATGTTGCAGGACCATCCACTCGGTCCAGCCGGTGGCGTTTGTCGAAGAAGTGGCGCTCGCGGGCCAAGCGCGTGCTTGGTGCCATTGCCATCACCGGCGGTGTGCTGGTGGTTGTGGGAGGGGTGGTGGCCATGACGGTGCTCTTCCCGCCGGGGCTCTTCCTGCTATTGCCGATCGTGGCGGCGGTCGGTGTCACCGGTGCCGATGCCATCACCAATGCCCGGGGCAGCGAGCTTGCCGGGGAGCATGACGACTCCATCCGCGCTGACAGCGACCCAGTCGGGCGCGCGCTGGCCGAGGACTTTGCCGCGGCCGACTTCCAGGCCGAAGGGGCCCTCGACCGGCCGGCGGTCTTCGCCTCGCCGGTGAGTGGCTCGGCCTCTCAACGGCCATCGGTAGATGACCACCATGAGGGGGAGTATGTGGTCGATGAGCCGATGCCCGTGGCGGTGGCCTCCTCCGACCCGATCCCCGGCGCCATCCCCGCCTACCCGCCGCCCTCGTATGATGAGATTTTCTCGTGAGAGAGCCAGGCCTCGGGGGGGGGGGGGGGGGGGGGGGGGGGAGCACGCCCTCGGCCCTTCTCCTCTCCCCCGCGCTTTTTTTTTCCAGGGGGGGTCCTTAGCGCGGGGGGGTTCCCCTTCTCCCCCCCCCCCCCTTGTGGATGTGTGCATATGGCATGTGAGGAAGAAGAAACGGGTCTTGACATAGAGCGGACCCCCCTCCCCTGTCGCGCTTGTGGTAGATGCATGCGTGTGCGCGTGCCCATTGGCTCCCACGCACATACACATGCATATGCACGCCGCACATGCACCACATGCCCCCATGCGGGGGGAGATCGCGAGCCGACTGCGACACCTCGCCCCCCACACAACACCATCCCCTCGAGGAGGCTCGCGCCTCGTCCAGTGCGCACCAAGGCCCGTGTCGCGCACACGCACATGCCCTGTCGAAAGGCTGTGTCCGGCGCTTTTGCTTTCCCGGCACATATGGCTGGGCGCCTGGGCAGGAGCATGCTCCGGAGGGGGGGTGCGTCCCGCCGCCCTCGCGTCCATTTGCACGTTTGGCCCCATGTGGGCGCGCGCGCGTGCAATGGTCAGGTAACAACCGCCACGCCTGGGGGTGGCCCTTCACATATGCGTCTTTTTGTGTATTTCAAATGACCTCGGCTTGTCGGAATCGCGCCAGACGTGATGAGCGAAGCCAAAAAGGAGAGACCCTCTCTCCGCCCCCACTCCCCCTTGTCCATCTTCCCTCTCTCCTCCTCTCTCTCTCCCTCTCTCTCTCTCTCTCCCTCTCTCTCTCTCTCCCTCTTTCTCTCTCTCTCTCTCTTAATATACCAGTTCAATGTCCATCGTTGGCGCCCTGCCTGGGGATGCTTTTGTCCCCATGCACGCGACAGAGATGATGGGGGGGGGGCAGGAGAGTAGGGCGAAGGCAGTCCCAGAGTGACCCCTGAAAGACAGAGGCTAGCTGGGGGAGAGGGAGGGAGGCATGCCGGCCATTGGCGGTAATGTGATTGTGGGCTCGATTCGGGGAGTGGAGGAGGCAGCAAAGCAGCCTCCTGCTTGGAAAAAGCGGCCAGGGCGGGAGGTGGAAGGCACGACACCTCAGGGCTAACTACGGGGGAGGGGGGGAGGGGGGGACGGGCCCAAGTTGCGAACATCACACAAAGGCAAGAGCGGGTGCTGGACCTGCGCTCGGGTCTGGGCGCGGCCTATTCGAGCAATTAACCAGCGCTACCCGGGCCGTTGCGGAGAAGTCGGCCCTCCCCCCCCCCCCCCCAGAGGACGGACATGCAATGCGGGACCCGGAGAACACTGGCCATGGGCCAGAAGTTGATGGCTGACCCGAGCCTGGGGGGAGGGGCGACCGACCGACCGGCCAGCAACAGTGCGGCGAGTCCCCTGGCGACCTCATTGTTCCAGCTTTGAATTTTTACCCGGGGCGAACGAGGAAAGAGTTGACCACGCCGGGCTATTCCACGAAGCCCCCCCCCCCGCCCGCCCCCCGCCCCCCCGGGGGAGAGGAGGGCGGTCGTCTGCGGGTCGGTGTTCCAGCACCCGGGAGGAAGGAGCGTGATGGCAAGAAGGAACCGCACCTCAGGGCGCGGTACATTCTCGGGGCGACCGAGGGAATGTGCCGGCCTTCGGCGGGGCGCCGGCTGCCGGGAGGGGCGGGGCGGGGGGACCATTTTACAACGTCCCACTCCCCCCGCGGGGCGCGCCTGGGAAAGCCCACCCCACGCGCGTGGATGAGCCCATATATTTGTGGGATATTTTATCCGACACACGCACACACGCGCGCGCGCGCGCACACCAGCAGTGCACACCACATGCAGGCGGGCATGCGGGATGATGGACACAAGCGTGCGCAAGGGTGTCCATGGGCGCAGGGACGGGCGAGGGGCGGGTGGGGGGATATGGGCCGTGTCACTGCGCCCAGGAGCCGAGGCCCACGACCCGACTGGCCGCTGAAACACCGACACTTTAAGGTCCCCACAGTGCAGCGGGGGCGCTTTGTGAGGCGTCTCGGAGGCCCGGATGGGCACCGCCCCGGGGCGCCAACTCTCGGCAGCCTGGCGTCTGAGTCCGAGGTGTGAAGGTGTACGAGGGTGTCCTGCTGGCCTCGCTTGTCCGGACACAGTGGGCCGGCCGCTCGGGCGTGCGGGTAAACATCCAGCGTCTCTCCAAGCACCCGGGGCCGGGGGAAGGGGGACCGCCCTGCGGGGCGGGGGGCCTGTCCGGGCTTGGGCGCCCCTGATGAGGGCGTAGCCGAAGGCACTACTCGGGGGCGGGGGGGGGGGGGGGGAGGGGAGGGAAGCACGCAGCGGCGCCCTGTCACCGCTATTGCACCACACCGGGGGTGTCCCTCGCCGGGACCCGAGAAGGAGAGAGAGAGAGAGAGAGGGAGAGACAAGCACCCGGTTGCGCCCTGCTCGGCCGTTGCCCGCGGCAGCTCCGTCGGCGATCTCCCCCCCCCCCCTCCTCCGCCCACTGGGGAGGCAAGTCCGGCCGCTGGCGCTCCTCCCAGGAGCGAGGCGAGGCCTCCTGGGGCCGGGACGACGGCGACGAGGCCAATGTGCCAATTGATGAGGACCCCTACTGTGGTGGATGCGGAGCCGACCCTCCGGGCGGCTTCCTTCCGCCCGTCAACAAGCCCCGACTTGCCTGGGGGGGGGGGGGGGGGGGCGCAAGAACCGAGGGCCGGGGCCCCCCGCGCCTCAGGACAGTGGGGAGGGGGGTTCCGGGAACCGGCTTCGTCGGGCACAGGGCCCAGGCCGTCCGCGGCGTTCGGCGCGGCACCTCCTTTCTGTAAGCGGGACAGCCATTACACACTGGCCTTTGGTGTCTCGTGTGGGGGGGGAACTTATCGGCGTTGGAGAAGACGCCCAGCGCACAAGCCACTCTCCTGGCCCCCCGCCCCAGGGCGGCCCCCTCTCCGGGCTGGGGGCCAGGAGGGGGGGGGGCCTGGTGGCAGCGGCCCGGATGGACGAGGTAACGGGCAACGTTCAGCGCCTCCCGCGTCAGCCGCCTCACATTGGCCTTCGCGCCTGGCTGGGCTCTCGGCCGCCGCTCCGGCGTCCGGCGGATCCGGCCGCGTCCACGCCCTTGTGACTCATCCATCCTCAGAGGGGTTGGAGCTGAGCACGTCGACCGGGGCAACAAGACCCGAGACTCGGCCACTGGTTCCTATAACCACTTCAGCGGCGAAGCGCCCGTGAGGAAGCGGCAAGACGCGGCGGGGGGCAGCAACAGCAGCCGGGGGGGGGGGGGGGGCCATGTGCACAACCCTGCGCCCTCCCCAGGCTGTCCGAGGGTCCAACACGCCCGTGGGGGCGGGGCAGGCGGACAAAGTGGAACGGTGAGCCCGCGGGGAACGGCTGCGCCGGACCTCGCGCGGGACAGAGACACACCGGACTCCTCCCAAGGGGGCGGCGGTCGGGAGCCGCGACCGGGCGCCTATGGGGGGGGGGGGAGGGGGGGGGAAAGACCCGCCCTGAGGAACGACAACAGGAAAGCGCCTTTCACCGCAGGTCACCCAGTGCCGGAGGAGCGGCAATTACACCTGGCCGGCTTCCGGGAAGGGGCGGCCGGCATCAGGCCCGTATGACGCCGGCGGGACTGCACGGGGCGAAGTTGGGGAGCGGGCCCAGCCTCCGGGGGGACGGCGGGGGGCTCACATGGACTCCGGTCCCGAGGCGCAGATGTCTGTGCTTGTGTGTGCGGACATGTTTGGCGACTACGCCGGCTTGCACGACTCTGTCTCGGCCTGGCGGCTAATCTCCCGCCTCGGTGACAGGCATGTGTGGGCACCTCAGCACGAGCGAGGGAGCATCGAGGCCACAGACCCCCGCCCCTGCAGCAGCCGGGGACGTAACCAAGAGGCGCGCCCCGCGCCAGGCTCATCCGAGGGAGCTGGGGCCAGCTCGCTGTGGGACCGCGAATGACCCCGGCCGTGCCGGCAGGGCGTCCGACTCGCACGCAAGCATCATCCCCATCCATCAGTCTGGCCCCCCTGCCCCATGCGGAGGCGCCGCGATCTGGCAGCCCTCCGCCCGGCCCCGCCCCGCGGCACTGTCCGGCCGGCAGGCTCTTCCCCCCCCCCCCCC